ACATCAGGTGGAAAAGCCAATGAAGATGATGAACAAACGCATGACTGAACAATCTGCTATAAATGTATTGCTTGTTGCACTAGATAAAATACTAATTTACACGTAGTCAATCATAAATTGGTGCCTGGATGGGTGTACATTTTCTTACATCTTTGGTAAGGAGCCCTTCGATACTGAAGTTCAGCCGTGGATTTACTGTTGCAAGCTTCATTGAGAGGAACTGAGAAGAAATAGAAATGCACTAACATGAATGACCTAGCTACTGAGAGAGCAAAAATCCAAACATCAAACATGGGATAAATAAACATTCTGAACATGAAAAATTATGAGTACCTAAAATAGCTTCTCATAATCATTCACACCACCAACGACAACCCATAATCAAGGAAAAAGGAGAAGGAAAGACTGGAGAAGTTGATCATTAGTTGCTTTTCATTCAAACATGCATACATCACACAATGAATGGTAGTCCAACTGTTCAAGCTCACCAGTAGGACTATTGACAATAATAGATTCCGTCTCACATCAAAGTCTATCAATAGCACCATGAATCGCACAACAATATGATCAGAAATGCATTATTAGTTGACATACCTCAACNATCAATAGCACCATGAATCGAACAATAATATGAACAGAAATGCATTATTAGTTGACATACCTCAACCTGTCGTTGCAGTGATTGCATATAATTGATGATTTCATCCAGCATTACTGCTTTTCCCATAATCTGAAAAACAGCTTTTGTTCTTATGGAATGAACTAAAGCAAAGAATCTAATTACAATATGCACAAGATTTAGGCTTTTAAGTTACTTTCAATAAGACTAACCTTGCTGCAACCAGGCCCAAGATCCTGAAGAAATTTCATCCTTTCACTAATCTTCTCCCTCCTTAGCTACAATGTAGATAAATTACTTGAAAAAGTAAAACATAAAAAAATCGTTCCCTTTTTTGAAACTTATGATGAACTTTGATTAAAATTCTTACTCTTTCTGCAAGACTATGGTTATTTGTTGCCTGGCCACTACGTAGTCGAACGCGTATGTATTATTCCTTAGGCAGATCTGACCCTTGACATCCCTACTTAGTATGTTTTCCAGAAGGTTTACTTGTTGTAGTTGGATTCAGATTACCCCTATGTTGAATTTTAGCATCGTCCTTTGCTGTCCTGGCTGATGGTTCCAGGGATCGATTTTTTACATTAAGTGCCTATAATCATAAAACACCACGAAAGCTTAATTTTTGAAACCTTAATACCAAAAAAAACCATCAAGAAGGAAAAAAAAAAGGGCACAAAACAAAAACTTACATTGATAGGGGTATTATGTCTTCAAGCTTTAGCATTCCAATTGCTAACAATTTTTTGATATGAAAATTCAATGGGCTTTC